GGTTAATCGAGGGGGTGGTAGATTCATTTTACTTGATTTTTTGGGATCTTCTCCTCGTTTCTATCAAATAAAAATGAGTGTATTATTTCAACACTGAGAAGTGTCAAACTATAAGCAGAGCACAACTTCCAAAGAAAAATATTTTGCATTTTCATGTTGAGAACGGGAGCAGATCCGTTCCCGAAACGTCCAAAGATTAGTAAAAATTCGATATTTTCTCAATATATCTATATTTCTCTCCTTGAAACATTCCATTATTTTCTACGTGTAGAATTTCGAAACTATCATCAAAATTATGGTTTTCTTCAAATATATGGTTGGCGTATGTTGAATTTGTTCTCTTTTTCAAGAAATTCACCTTATGTTCATGAATTCGCTGATTGAACGTACGACCTGTCTGACCGATATATACCTTAGACCAAGCCGACACAGTTGAGTTTGTATACCCCTGATTTTTTGAATTTGAAAGTTTGTCTTCATTATTTTTGATGAACCTTTCCAACGTGTTATTTGTTCTATAATGCTTGTTTTAAGTCCTGTTCATGTAAAAAAGAAGCTTATTTTTCCGTTGATGATTCGAAATAGGTTAAAGTTCTATATTTTTGATTATCATTTTGATGAACTTCTTGAATAGCTTCATTACGAAGTTTATCCTACCATCAAGAAAGATAATCAACCTATTTCGGATCATCAACTGAAAAATTAGCTTCAATTCTACATAAACAGGATTTAAAAGTATCATATAGAACAAATAACACGTTGGGAAGCTCCATCGAAGATAATAAACACAAAACTTCTGAATTCGAAAAATCAGGGGTATACAAACTCAACTGTGAATCTTGTCCTAAGGTATATTATACCGGGTGTCAACGAATCTATTAGACAAGTCATAACTTCTAGACCATTAGGTGTCTCCTAATTGAGATTTGGTATAGGTAAATGGTATGTGAAGAGAAGAGTTCTCACATACTTATCACTTTCCGGTCACATCCGGTTTCACCGGAAATGGCTCCGGTTCTGAATTTTTAAAAGGAACACCCTGTATATTGTAACATTTCTGGATTTCTGTGACAGTTCTAGATCAGAATGTGACATTTTCGAAAGTTTCTATACCTATTTGATGTTTTCGGATTCACTTTTGAAATTACATCTAGGTGCTCATGATCGGAAGTAAACAAATCTAAGGACCTCAGGTGATATCAGAAAATTACAATCGCGAAGTTTCAGTGACAAGTATGATAGATATGAATAAGACAAGTTGGCAAAATTAGATTTTCGTGTCTAACTATTATATTTCAAACGGCGTTTATTTTTGACAAGCACTTTCCGAAAAAAGGATATTTTGAGGAATCTGAGGATACTAATTTATTTGAGAAATGAGAACATAAATTGAATACGACTGACGAAAATACTTCATGATAATTAATTTACTTTTGTCAAGAAATCCAAAAATGTTACAATATACAGGGCGTTCCATTTAAAAATTCAGAACCGGAGTCACATACCATTTACCTATACCAAATCTCATTTTGATACACCTAATGGTCTAGAAGTTATGACTTGTCTAATAGATTCGTTGACACCCGGTATATATATATCGGTCAGACAGGACGTACGTTAAATCAGCGCATTCATGAACATAAGGTAATTCTCTTGAAAAAGGAAATAAATTCAACATACGCCAACCATATATTGCCAGAAAGCTATGGTTTTGATATTTTCGAAATTCTGCACGTAGGAAATGAGGGAAAGAAATTAAATCATTTTGAATCATTAGAAATCCACAAACTCGAAAATTCTGACTTTTTTCTTACGATCAATTAGATTCATCAATAGTTTACCACTGTTGTTTTCTTTGTAGGTGATGATATGTATTTGCTATCAACCCTTTCATGTTAATCCGGTACGCGTATTTCGAAAAGCGTACTCAATAGGTCTCAGCGCCAGTGCTGAAACCGAGACTTGTTTCCAGAGCTTGGATGTGCCGGAATACCGTATTCAGTTGGTCATCGCTGAGGAACGTATCAGAGACGCCTTTTATGTTCAATTTGAGGATGAAATGCGAATAAACCCGTCCCTATTACGGCAATTATTTGGTGTAATCGTTATTTTATTACTGAACGAAACAGATCGGCAAGAGCTAGCGCAGCTAGCACTAAGGAGTGAAATTTCTCCTACATTTTTCAAAGAAATGTCCGAGCCTGAACAGTATGAGGAATGCACATTGAATGAGAACCTATCTGAACCTATTTACAATTCCGTGAATAATTCTATTTTCCCTTCGTTTTTCAAAAGCAGTATTGACCCTGAAGCAAAAGTCGAGTATGTCAATAATATTAATAGAATGAATGATGAATTTGGTCGTATCACTTGAGTTCTTGAGAATGATATGATTGTATATCAGTAATATGACTAAAATTTCGAGTTTTGTCAAGGTACTAGAAAATTTGGAAACTCCTACACAAATAATGACATTCATTTGTGATAAAATAAAACAACGACGATCTCTTAAGATCAAAGTACAACCTACTGCCATATCTCGAAGAAAGAATAGGAACATCACTGGTGGAAGAATACAATCTGGTCGACCGAGTAATATGAAGTATTATGGATGAATGAGTCGAATACTAATTCGGGTTAAATTTTTTAATCTTCAAAATTCATCATTCATCTCACTAGCACAATTTCCTGACAAGTCTGTCAAACAACAATAAAACCAAAACCCCTCAGGATTCAATGGTACCTCAACTCATTCTGAATAAATGTACAGGATGATATATATAAATTAATCCTAACGGAACATAATATAGAGAGGAAATCCAAAAAACGACAACATAATATATCATTGAATATTGAGGTGAATGTACCACCAGCAAAAAACGTTGATTGCATGATTGGATTAATGAATAATGAGTGGATGAAATGAGTTTTCCTTTGTGAGTCATCATCACATAATAAATTTCATATGAATTGTGTTTTATTCTTTCGTGATTGGAAAATAAAAATATCTCCCTCCGAAATGCGTCTCTGATACGTCCCTCAGCGATGACCAACTGAATACGGTATTCCAGCACATCCAAGCTCTGGAAACACGTCTCGGTTTCAGCACTGGCGCGGAGACCTATTGAGTACGCTTTTCAAAATACGCATACGGTACACTGTATTCTAATGTAGATATTGTGCCTTATTTCCAAAAATTAAGGTTCATCGAACCTGTCCACAGGTAACTAATCCTTTGGGTTGAGAAAGTATAATATATAAAAACTAAGCAAGCCGAGGTTAGTTTAGTTCATTGAACCAGTATATCACCTGACGAAGCTTACTGCGTTAGCGAAACATGTCGTGTGTTTGAGAATCTTGTGGAAATCTTATTTTTTGTGAAATTTTCACTTTTCCAAAATTCGTTTTTCCATAGAACGGCCAGGCTTTGGAATCCTCTGCCGATGGAAGTATTCTCAATAACTTACGATATCCAAAGGTTCAAGAAAAATTCCAATACCTACCTCCTCTAACTACACAGAAAAAAAATTGTTTGATAGTACTACAAAATTTTTGTGAATTCAACAAAATATCAGTGTCATATATCTACGACAAAATATTTTGTCACCGCAACAAATGTTTTTTGTCAGTTTTCAATTCAAAATTCATTTGATCAACTCATTAATGATTAATGATTCAAATCAACAGCAGGAATTGGTTGAATAAACAAAGATTATTTTTTTCCTATGATACAATATTCTTCTATTATGAACGATTCTGTTGATTGAAATGATTATATCATTTCATTCAAGTGACAAAATTTTCAGTTTTTCAGAGAGTGAATATGTTTAAATAACAAAATATATTCCCAATAACATATAATCTTCAGAAGTTCAAAAAAAATTCCAATACCTACCTCCTATCCCTATCCTCCCTAGGAACGCACGATGTTCTTTGAACATTATAGGGATTCCCTTTCGTGCGCTCCAAGCCATAAAAAAAAATCAACAAAATTGTATTTAGAATTGACGAAATATTTTGCTGAATAATAAAAAAGAAATCCAATGACTGAATTTCAAAACTGAGAGAGATAAGAGATCAATTTCCTCAGTTGATTCAAGACTATTAGCTTGTATAAGCGTCATAAGAAATTCTAGGACAGCCTAATATAATTATATAAACGGATGTTTTGGGTAGGTATATGTTCAATTGTACACCCTAATCGAGCCGAGCGTAGGAAGGTTGGAAGAAACGCCACCTGGTGGCAAGAATGCAACTAGATAATCATCCAACAAAATATTTGTTTGATATAATGTTCTTGTGGGTTCTGTTCAACAAACTGATTTGTTTGAAATAACAACATATTTCTTGATATAGTGATGTGTTGAATCAACAAAATATAATGTTGACATAATCAATTAAATTTTGTGGAATAGAAGGAAACCTTTGATTGGTTGCACAATGAAATGATTGTTGACTCAACAAAATATGATGTTGTATTTAGTTATATATTTGTCAAAATTAATTTAATTTTGTCAACATTAATTCAATTTTGTCGAATAGACAAAATGCATATGATTGAATGAACAATGAGATAATAGTTGGATCAACAAAATTTGTTTTATGTCAACTATAAATGTTGTTGAATGAAATGAAACTTTTGTTCAAGTAAGCAAATATTTCAATCAAATTATTTTGTCACTTTGAATAGGTTGCTTATTTGGAATGAATATATATTTTGTTGATTCCGCAAAATTGTGTTTGTGCAACAAAACTTTTTTTCCGTGTTTGCGTCTCGGTTAACTAACTAATCTCGCGACAGGAATGAATCACTTCCCTCCTCGCTGTGTAATATACTATTTCCATTGAATTTTTCGACTTCTAAATTCTTTGAATTCCATTCGTTAGGAAAAACCAATAGAATGACCAAAATTATTTTGTTGGTGCAACAAAACTTTTTTTTCCGTGTATCCTCCCAAGGTATGCACGGTGTTCTTCGAGTATAAAAAAATATCACTCACCTATTGTCATCTTCAGTCTTATGTTGACCATTATCTCCGAAATATTCTATATTCTGGGTGTTTCCATGCCCGTTAACCTTCACTCCATTAGTGGTCATTTTGAGGATGATGAAAACACGATAATAAAATGATTGATTGAACACACACTATATATAACCACCAGCTGAGATATGAAATGGAAATCAACTTAACTGAATTATCCGAATCATTGCGCTTTATATAATATCATTTTATTATCTGAATGATGTAAAAAACAACTTTTATGGAAAATTGATAATGATATTAGTATGTCGAGCGTCACACATAATATTGCAACATTATTTTGAACCCGTTTGTTCACATTTTTCAAATGACTGTACGGAGTGGTCCAAAGCTGCTCAGATTTCAAATATTGAGTACTGAAGGTTTTTTGAAAGATGAGAAAATCATTACTACTTTCGTTGCTGATACCATCACATAATATTGAATTATATCTTTAGAATTATACAATACATATCTACTTAATATAAAATGAATCCTAATAATTACTTGCCAGCGTGCCTTATACTAATAGCAGAGATATAGCAATCTTCATTAGAGAAACATGGTCCTGCATCTCACCTGCCGTCTTCTATAGCTAAGTTATCAGTTGAGTCAGAATTTTGATATTTTGTAGACTTCAATTGTTTCATAGGGCGCATAACAGGACAATAATTTCGATTATACAGAATGTCCCAAAAAAGTTTGACGTCATAATGATTGCGTCATAATGAAGCGGCCACGACGACTCATCGGTATTCGTAATCATCGTGTGATCGGAGATTGAAGCAGGTTTAGTCATCAGCATCGCAGCATCAGAACGAATCACTTGTCGATGTTGTATTTTTATAAACGGTCATCTTTGTACAAGCCGTCCTGAGTGAATAAAAATGTGTTTGAGTGTTAAAATTGTGTCTGTCTGCGATGCCTCCATTTAGAATCTTATAATATATATTTCAAAATAGCATGTCATATATTCTGTTGCACATTTGGGTGCCTCTAGTGGTAACCTACATACTCTTGAAATTTAATTGAAATCTGTTATTCACGTAAAAAAAATTCATCAAAACAATTCATTTTACACTACGCTGAATGGTCAAAAACATTGATAACAGAAAAGAGAGTGCCTGCTCAATAGGATCATGAGAGATACATATCAAATAAGGCCTAAGAGGATCGCTAACCGACTTTGATCGACACGAATCATCACAGGGTGTGCAAAATTCAGTGGCAAACTTTTCAAATTTCAAAGCACTATATTCTTCTCATTTCAGATTGGAGCCCCTGTATATTTTCATGCCATTCGATGCGTGAATAAAAAACGAAGTTATTTTTCACAACCTCATCGAAATTCTCATCGTATCATTTGCCGAAAACTCTTCTCATCAACTATTCTGATAGTCATCTGAATGAATAAAAAACGAAGGTGGCTTTGAGAAGTAAATTATTGTTATTTAACTCTAAAGAAGTGTCAGGAGTCTATTTGGGCTTGAGTAGCTCGAATACAATACATTGTTATTATAAATTCTTTGAGCTGTTCCTAATGAAATATTGTTTCATGTACTCACCAGTGGCGGCTCCTCAGAGGAGGCAACGGAGGCTGAGACTCCTCAGAGATTTTCCTCAAACTAATATTATCTATACTTTCTCATTAAAAGGACACCAAAATACATGGATTTCGATTCTATTTCCTGTTTTTAGTTGAATATGTTTGAATTGGCAACAGTGCTTGCCCACGCATCACACGTTGGAGTCTGCAAATCACGCGTAAAATATTCAACTTGGCAACATCTATAGGAGGCTAGACTCCTTCACAATCCGCAACCTACGCGAGCAATACAAATTTCCGAATACGCCCGAATAGCACGTGTTTGTTAGATTAATGGTTAGGACCTCTATAAATTTCTGAAAAATGAGTGTTTTAAACGATTGCGATTTAGTACTTTTTTGTGAACCCATTCAGTGCTTTGTCTTATAAGATAAATTGATTGTGGAAAACAAACGTCCGACACCGGAATTAAAAAATCTGATTGTAACAGGTAACAAACAAAATCGTTCGTTCAATTCTGATAATTATAAAAGATATATCTGGCTGACGGGATCTGAGGTAAGGAATAAGCTATTTTCAACCGATAAGTCATCATGTTGGGGGCGATTAGGATATAATGATTTGAAAAATTTGCCTCGCTGATTGGATAGACACTGCAAATCACAGGAACACATCTCTTCAAGTATTAAGTTTAGGTTAACTGGTAAACAGAATGTCATTAAAGCTATTGATTTGGGTGAGTAGAGAGTTGTTTTTCACTATAAATCTCATATCATTCAGCCTCCTCTGTCATGAAAGTCACGAGCCGCCACTGGTACTCACATATCTAAAATGGCATTTAGCGTACGGATATGTACCATGCTGAATGATCGATTAATCACGGATTGTCGATCTGTGATTTATTCAAAATATTAAACACGTTACCATGGCAACACGATTTCTTAAACACATTACCATGACAACGCAGTTCATTAAACACAGCTCCATTAATTTGTCAACTGATATTTTCGAATTTTGTATCAGAATTCTTCGAACAATATTCGTTTGTATCAGAATTCTTCATTGAAAATATATGCGAAATATAGACGAAAGTGAAATCGAAGAGAATGTTCTGGTACTTGCAAGTCTCCAAGAAGTGTAAAAATGAAGCATCCATCTTTGAGAACAATTTATTTATTCTGCGCTAAGCATGACAATGAACGTGAAACAAAGGTTAGTAAGCAATGGACTGGACACATCTACAACCACTATCACTTATACGTGTCTCGCTAGTTGCATGCAGTTGCATGTATTATGTTCTTAATTCCCATTCCTTTCGAATTATTTTGTAGGTTAGCAGGAATAGCAGGTATATGTTAATGTAATTTCCAGAGTTCGAAGAAAAAGCATAGTATGTAACGCGTTCATAAACTCTTCTAGACACTCGTTTATTAAACACTAGCTCCGCTCTGCTCCGCTCGTGCTCAAAATACTCTTACTAAAAGGACGTTCATAACACTTGTTACATAATATATTATTATGTACTTGAACAAAGTGATTCATGAGGGAACTTACATAGTCAAATGATGAATATGGGATATCAAGACGAGTTGTCGTATATATTTGAAAATTCTTTTTGGCCATCCATAACGAAGATTATATGAAATTACCAATAACTTCGATGGCAGATATTTCAGAAATGATCAATCGTAATTGGCAGAAATTTGACAGCGAAGTTTCTTCATTGAAACGATTCAAGATGGCTTATTATAAAGGAAAAATACAGATCAGGACTTCATTTTTTATTGTTATCTCAGAAAAGTTCACTTTGTGATAACTTTTTTCGATGAAATCTTATCAGATCCAGAAAGATCAGACAAAACGCCAATTTGCACATCACAGTTTGACCGATTCAATGAACAAATATGGAACAAAAACGTTCGAATAAGTTTTCAATTTAGACCTGGCTGATAACCCTTCACTTTCAACTGGATTCGTGTAAATTGAATTTTTGTACATTCTTATTCACAACAAATTGACCAAAGAGAGAAGTCCTGATTTTTTGACAAATTGATAAACGATAAACTTGTTATGAAGTAGCTACTGTTTTCATTTCATGATGTGACAAACACTACACATCCTTAGAATATAAAGTCAATATCTTCAGCTTCTACAAAATGGTGGAACATTTAATAGTAACTATATATGTAGTATGCCTATTTAACTGACTTTGTAGCTCCAAATAACCAAGTTAGTAATAGTGCCGACTTAAGTTTGAAAACCCTGTATAAAAAGCAAATCAACTTTGAGAGTTCGGAAAAATATCTTCAAGAATAATACAGGTAGTTCACATTGCAAACTCATTTCAATAATCTTCATTGACAGAATGATATACAAGGCTGGATCTAATTTTCATTAACAAGAAAAAAGGGTGTCATATAGTTTCCAATTTCAAGTGGTTAGTGATAAGACAGCAAGAAAGCTTCAATTTCTGAGGAATCTCTTGAAATAGGTTGATTTTTATTTTCAATTCTCCACATTTATAGGGGAAAGTTGAATGTCTATACGTAGAAAGTGATTCCTTTCGAGTAATCATATCCGCGCCAATGATTTCAATTGGAACACCCTATATATAACACAATTCTGAGAGTATTAATGGTAAGCCGAATTCAAACATATCACACATAGGGTTCGGATACAGTGCGTTCGTTGAATTCAAAGCTTCCTCAAAATATAGTGGATGATTTCGTGAAAAATTTTGCCATTTCTCCTACACGAGCCATTCTGTATATAGGTACTAATGAATTCGAAAGATTGCTCGAATGCAAATGAAATTTGACGCCTAGACTGTTACTTCAAAAAGTTATCCGTTCAATTTTTCACGAATTTTTCCACTAAACGAGAGCACAAAATTCAAAGAACGCACTGTTTACACATTCTGATATATTTCTGAATTAAGCTCTCCATGGAGGTTCCAAAAATTGTATATTATATAGGGTGTTCACAAATCAATCAATCAATAAATCAATCAAAACTGGGCTTTATTGTCCAAGAAACATTCTTCCTATTGACAAAGCGTGAAACTAGCAAGTGGATAGATCCACTATGTCCAATTATTTGTACAAAGATATAAAAGATATATAAACATGAAATATAGTTGATAAATAAAACAAATACAAGGGTATAAAACAACTACAAAAAAGCCCTGAAAGCATAACATCTATATCACATACAACGCCAGCTAGGTACCTAACATAATAGTTAAAAAATCAAGAAATAAATTATACATGACTTCAAAACTTCTCGTTGTAATATTCCTGCAGGTCATAGTCATATACGTATTAATAATCAATACGGATAATCTCTATCTGTTTCCATAGCGAAACATGAAGCCGATTTTTGAAGACAAATGACTATCCATAAGGAAAAGTTTTGAAACGATCAGACACATACTGCTTTGATTGAAACGCTAGTAAACGTCATTGTCCACCGAAACGCATGTCTTTGATGACTACTATAATAGTGCATGGCGCATGCGTATCATGCCACCAAATCCTTATGGATATTCATTTGTTTCATATTTTT